GGGACGAAATTGTATAAAAAACTATAAAAAAATTACTATCAAAGAATTGATATGGCAAGGCCATGTCTCGGTTTTGTATCTTAATTCAAGATTTTATATGGCAAGGGCATGTCTCAGTGTTTGTATCTTGATGCAAATAACTTATATGGCAAGGCCATGTCTCAGTATTTGTCTCTTGATGCAAACAACATATATGGCAAGGCCATGTCTCAGTTTTTGTATCTTGATGCAAATAACTTATATGGCATGGCCATGTCTCAGTGTTTGTATCTTGATGCAAATAACTTATATGGCAAGGCCATGTTTCAGTGTTTTCCTCTTGATGCAAATAACTTATATGGCAAGGCCATATCTCAGTGTTTGTCTCTTGATGCAAATAACTTATATGGCAAGGACATGAATCTTGCCGAACCGAATCCGACCCGATTTTTTGGATATCCGCACACCTCTTTTAGTTTTTTAGTTTTGTACTTGGATGATTAGCTAACGGCCCATACCTAATCTCTCCTAAAAATTTTCTTGTTAGTATTTCAATCCTGCTAGAAGCTTCGAGATAAAAAAAAATCTCGAGAAAATCTTGAAGTTTCGGGTCTTGGCTATCACTAATGTTTATGAGCTTGTCACAACTGTGAAAAACAGTGATGATGTTTCAGTAATTGAGAAAGATCGACACATCACCAATTTCATCAAATATTTTTAACACCTCTGCTACATTAATGATTTGAATGTGTTCGGTTATTTAAGGGTGTTTGTTTACATATAAGTTTCATTTTCTTAATCACAAGTTTTTAATAAAAGTTTTGCATGGCCGACCTATACCAATGCAAAATACTGTAAAATTAAAAAATATGGATATTTTGTTAAAAAAATTAAGTAGCCTATCCTGAAAATTTAAAATAAGGTACCAATGGTACCGGGACCGAGAACCGATTTTGGCTAGGAACCGGTACCAGTACCGACTTTGAAAAAGTGGTACACACCCATCACTAATTGCTAGGTCTAAAATAGCTCAAGTAGCCAATGAATGGTTAGCGGATGACAAACCATGCAGTCCTTATCGTGAGTTCGTAATAAGATATTTCATGAAACTAAAAATCCAGAAGCAAACTTTGTGGTTATCCAAAGCGATGTGAATTCCTAAATCAGAAAAGTCAACAATCTCACAAAAGGTCACGAATGTCCAAAACTCGTAAGATTGATAAATTGTTAAGTGTTCTCTAAATATAAGTTATGTTAAAATCCAATGCAGAAAAATTATTATAACATTGTAAGCTTATTATATCACTTTGACCTTGAATTTTTTGAAGATTTCATTCAAATATGTTTACACCAATAAAACTTTTCCTACACTGCTCTCTTATAGCTTAACCTAGACATTGTATTTTAAATGTAGCTTAAATGTAAGCTTTGTAATTGTACGTAAAAATTTAAAGTTAAATGGCAGCTCTGTGCTTTCAAACTAGAGATACGAAGACGACGACGGGCCGGCCAGCGCGTAGCAGTAGTTGCGTATAGCTGAGTTAATCCTGAGCGCGACCAAACATAACCGTGCTCACCCGAACTTGAATAGGTAATGCAGATCGAGACTTGACACAAGTGCCTCTGTTGAGGGACCCCCCAACTACGTGAAGGTGGCCCCATCCAAAAACGACTTGGCACGAAATTGCTGTAAGCTGCAAATCCATTTTGGGTAGCATGTGTAATCTTTGCTTATACTGACTTAAATCAGCTGATTTTTTTAACCAGAATAATTGATCAAACCCCTAATGTACAGGGACGTCTTGAGCCGTGACTAATTTCCACCGGTGAATGTCACGACTCATAATCAATGGTCAAAGTGTTTTTTGTATAGTAGATTAGTTTGTGTTTCGATTACTGTTCCAACAATCCTCAACAAGGCTGTGTCTTGTTCATCTTATTACTCCCACCGCCAAGTGTCTTAGGTTAAGTGGCTGCCTTTTGCTCCGGTTCGTCGAAATTTTCATCTGTCCTAATCTATTTTTCTGGCATGCCTTCCATCTTATTTTGCCTCTATTTCTTCAATGTGAGGATGTATTCTTCGATGGATTAGAGTAAGCGGGCCGGGCCGTCTGTGCCTGATGGGTGAGTTTTGCACAATTTTTCTGAAACTTAGGTTAGAAAAGTGCCGTGAGCACATGTTTGCACTGGGTCGTAGACAGTTTTGGTAGTTAGTTTCCCCTTTTCTCTGTTGTTTTGTAGAATTCAGGGCTTTCCCCGAGATGCTAGGCCTAGAATTGACTTGAGAAATGTTTGCTGGAAAGCCGCTATTTGAGAGAGACTGCCAAGTCAGTTTTTTGTCATTCTGACTGTTTTGTGGTAGGCCTAGACCTACAATTTTGCTCTTTAATTGTAAATGTCTTAGGCTACTACCTCTGGTAGTCTTTTTGTTTTGTGTCCTGTAAAAATTTAGTGTTGTTTTGTCTTGTAAAATGTTCAGTTTGTGTTACCCAGTCAAGTACTGTTTAAGTCTTTTATTTTGCTTTGTCCTTGCCAAACTAGTTAAATTAAGTAGTATTTACTGCCCTTTAAAGTCCCCAGAAAGTTTGAGTCATTTTAATCAAGTTATAAGAAAGTTACAGTAGTTTTTAGTTTGGCAATTCTCCTGTCAGGTTTGGACTGGGTAACCTGTTGGCCTACTGGCTTCAGCCTTTGAGTTAAGGTTTGGAATGGTCTGGAAAAGTTGCTGGAAAATTTCCCCCAGCTTTTAAGACCATTCCGAACAAATTCTGACCACAACTTTTGGAGAAATTAACAAAAATACATGAGTCGTAGCGTTAGGTCAAATTTTTTGTATGGAACGTTTTTTGTTGATTTTAAAGTATTTTTCTGTGTTTAAGTGTAATTGTTTTGTTGTTAACTTGTTCTTCTGGCCACTTTGGACCAGGTAATTTACATTTTTTCTCTCTATTGGTGAAATTCATCACTGTCACATACCCATCTGGCCTGCCAGCAAATGTTTACCGTTTACCGCAAGTATTTATAATGTTACCGATCTTGTACTGTTTTATCTGTTAATTGTTTTGTTTAAATTATTATTATTGTTTAAAACTTTTTATATTGTGAAAGAGCTGTTAAAGAGAGACAAACCTTAAAAATTTATAATTTTTTTTTAATGTTATGATAGGCTCACTCAGTGAAATTTTGGAACTAAATGAAAATAGTGAAAGGTGTGACAGTGAACATTGTGGTTATGGACTCAGACTATTACTCTTACTACTGTGTTTTCTGAATTTTGTTACTCAGGGCCCGTGAGGAGGAAAATGATTTAGACCGCATCAGCCTTGGCGGAGAGAAATTTTCCAACTTGGCTACCCCTGGATCATGGCCCCTCTCCGCCGGGCCTGCTTCTTTCCCCTCCGGTGCTGTCCGCCCACTACCTGAAGCTACCGTTCGTCATTACCGCAAGTTACCACCTATTGTTGTTATTTTAGTTTAAGTTGTTATTAAAAAGGAAAAAGGAAAAGACTTTTCAGATCTACGAAGGACTAGTGGTTATTTCTTGTTAAATTTTGTTGTACAGATTTTATTTATTGTTATTGCCTTCTAAATTTTATAACCTAGTCTACATTCTTCTTATTGTTTATTAAATTTTATCTCAGTTAAAGCCTACTTTAAATATTCTAAAACTTCAAGTTGGGGCCCCAAAAGGTTATTAAATTTGTTACCAGATTAATATGGATTTATAAAAAAAAAATAGCCTACATATTTATATTTATTGTTATATATTTGTTAATTTAAAAGGAATTTTTGAAAGGTAAAAGCTAGCCTAATTAAGTATTACCTATTTGATTAAAATTAAAGAAATGCTTGTAAGTTAGTAATAGTAGGCTAGATGGGTAACCAAATTATTTAAAGTTTTTATTGAGAGTGTCATGTATTATTGTTAATGTTGTTGTTGTCTTGAAATTCGTTTATTACAGCTCGTTTCTCTCAAATGGTGCGTTGTTCTTGAACCTCTATCCATGGTTCTCACGTTGTTTGTTTTTTTTTTTTTTTTTTTTTTTTTTTTTTGGGTGGGCCGCTCCTCGGGCCTGCACATGAATTCACGCTTCCAAGTCGTTGGCCTGGGTGCAGGTACGAGGGCGCGGTTCAGTCTCCAGTTTCAAAGTCATCAAATTTACGGAGTTTTCTTAGGATGGAACCAGTGAGCCTCTGATAGTAAAGGAGCACTTGATTAAATCAATCAGCATAACAGTTTTCTGTAGAAAAATATTATGTTGGACACAACCTAACATTACAGATTGTAGATGTACATGTAGGTACTCTTTAATGATTAGAAAAAATAACTAAATTATACCAAACTCCAGTTATATCTGTTCCCGTATACATCTGTTTTTAGAAAAAACCAACCCCCAAGGGGGATCATCATAAAACATTATCTTTAACCATGCTAAATTCTTAATAAACATAAAAATAATTTAGTTTATTGCAAACAGAAAATTTGTTTTTCTCCTCAGGTGGAGTGCCCCCTTAAATGAGTATTTGTTTGGAACTTGGAACTACACCTACCTTGTATTTTCACCTATCTCGAGTTATCTTCAGAATAATCTTTGCTCAATAATAACAACTGTTTTTTTCCTTTTGTACTGTAGGCTATTTTGTAATTTGCTAGTATACTGTGGGTGGATGGCTTATTATGAACACATGAAGACTTAAACTTACATGTCTTTTGTTTACTTTTTCCTTGTTATGTTGTTTAACCAACATGGTTACTTAGCAACCCATTAGGCCAATGTTAAAAAGTTTTGCGTAAGATTTTTGTTGGCAGTTTTAACAGCATTAAAACACGTTTTTAGGCCAGAAATTAAATTATTTGTAACATTTGAAGGAAATTGTCATAGCCGTTTTTGAGATCTTTGTACAAGCAAGCATACATACAAGCAAACATTGCTCATACAAGAGTATAGGATAAGATTAGTAATTATTGAGAAAGAGCTGTGATAAGAGCTATCATAAAACATTAGGCTAACTTAACTTACTACTCTGTCCAAGTCAGGGTTCCCGACGATGAAGTAACAATTGTACTCCTCTTTGGGATCAAATAAATAGTTGATAAAGTCTGGGTCTGTATTGGCAGTGGCAGGCCTATCTAGGCCCTTGGCCACTAACGTACTCTCCATCACAGCTGTGCTGCTATCACACACTGGAAACATGCAAACAATGTGGATTAGACTGTGTAGTCTGGATGTAACTAAATACAATTTGTTTTAGCCAATTTCCCTATAGGGAAGTAGCTATTACCATAGACTAACCAACACAAGTAGACTTCTCATCCCATTGTAAATTTTGAAGCACGTTTTTCGTGTCTAGTTCATGTACGTAACACAAAGGCGCTAGTGTCGACGAAACTTTGTTTCTATTATTTTAGGGTTATTTTCTTGATTTGTGCTTTACTGTTTGGTTATATAACTAGGGGACAAGTTATTGTTTATGATTAGATCGTATTATTTGGTTAAACGAGGTTTTAAATGGCTGTAATAACGGGAAACAAATTGTAAACAAAACACGACCTCTACATAAACAGTACAGAACTAACAATAAAAATGTCTTCAGCTGTTCCATAAGGATGAGAAATCTCCTAAGGGAGTATGTTTTATCTATGCTATTACCTACAGTCAACGCTATTACCGTAGGTGGCATGGTAAGGCCTAGGCCCGGGACCGATTTACTTTTTCATTTTGATGTCCCCAGAGGCCAAAAACACCATTCGTTCAAATTTTTATATATGTATATGTATATATATAGGCTAGAAATTATATAAAATTATGAATGAAATCAATCCGTTCTATAATAATATAAAATATTGGTTCAGGTATGTCGATGACATAATATGTCTATTTGAAGGTACGGAAGAAGAGTCAAAAAGACTTTTAAACTATATCAACTCCTTATCAAACACGATTCAATTCTCCCAAGAGATACAAGAGAACAAAATAAATTTCCTAGACGTGATGATTTCAAAGGAAAATAGATCTCATAACTTTGAAATTTATAGAAAACCAACTACAAGTGACTGCATAATACCAGCAGACTCAAACCACCCGTGGGAACAAAAGATGTCTACATTCCACGCATTAACAAATAGGTTGATCAATATTCTTATGAGCAAATCTAGTTTCATAAAAGAAAAGAATATTATTAAATACTTGGCATTTAAAAATGGATACAACCCTAGAATGATAAAAAACATGATTAAGAAAAAACAAATGAAAAAGAAGAACAAAATTGTAACAGAAAAACAAAAGAATGGTTTTATTTGTGTTCCATATAATAGTAAATTCAATAGAGCAATCAGGAAAACATTCAAAAATTCTAAATTAAATGTAAGTTACCGAACCAAAAACAACGCATTAGAAATAATTAATAAAAGAGCCAAAAAAGATAACAACCAAGCTGTTGTAACATCAAAATATGAGAACTCTGGTATCTACAAAATTAAATGTTCAGATTGTGAAAAGTATTACATTGGACAGACAGGAAGGTCATTTAACTGTAGATATAAAGAACATGTACAAGCGTTTAAATCAAAGAATGTAACTATGAAAAGTAATGTAGCAGAAGACATGCTTAATGAGAATCATCTATATAAATAAAATTAGAGTTTTGTCTGTACATTGCTTAGAATAATGAACTTTTTGGTTATTTTTACATTTCATAGGTCAGAGAAACCGAATCAAACCTTATCTCAATTTCTGTCTGTCTGTCTGTCTGTCTGTCTATCTGTCATTCTCTTGGTAACGCTAAAATACGCACTTTATTACAACTACTCCTCAATAACTATAGCACTGTCCCGCCTGAAACTTATTTTCCAAATACTATACATATATGAGATGGTTTTAGACGTATTTCATCGAATATGAGACAGTTAGATATTTAACAGTAAACCCTTGAAAATCAAGTTTTTGTCGATTTTTGACGTGGAATTTCTGGAAGCCCATGTTAACCTTATGAGAAATGAAATTATTGAATCTTAACAGCTGTTTCAATTAAACAAGTTGGTTCTGTTCTGTGATGTTCAATAGCATTAAAGTTACAAGGATTACCAACAGGGTGCAGCACTAGCACTATTATTTCTTTTACATTTATGACAACAGCTAATTTGCAACCTGGAGGCGAGTGAGCGTAGCGAACGAGCTAACCTGAAGGCAAGTGAGCGTAGCGAACGAGCTAACCTGAAGGAAAGTGAGCGCAGCGAACGAGCTCCAACATACAGGTGAGTGAGCGTAGCGAACGAACTTCAACCAGGACGTGATTGAGCCATGCAAACGAGATCAGATAGTAAAAATAAAAGTAAGCCTACCGTTATAGGATCGACCGGCAGACACAGAGGTAATTTAACCTTTTATTGATTGTCATACCGATCCGGAACAACAAAAAACAACATAAAATGAAGCTATGTATAATAGTTTGGCCAGCATATCTTAAAATATGCAAACCAACTGCTGTTCTTTATATAAGAAGGTTTCAACTGAATATTATAAGATCCCCGTGCGTAGAACGGGTACACAGCTAGTAAATTCACTAAAATTTAAACAGATATGACAGTTTTGGACTACGGATCAAAAGGAAATAAATTAGATACAAAGAAGAATATCATATATACTGCAGCTACAAGAAAGATCCAACGAATATAATCAATACAATGCAAGTAAAGAAACAAAATCCTATGTATGAAAAAATTTTAAAATTAAAGAATATTTAACACAAACGTCAAGAGAAAGATAAAATAAAAACAAACATAATCAATTTAGTCAATTTGTTGTGTTTAAAGTGAGGTTAAATATGTTACTCTTGTAAATGGCCTAAAGGTCGAAACATGTAGAGTTTTAAAATAATTTATAAATAAAAAACTTTTTTAAAACAAAACGTTTTTAAACGCACTAAAAAGTAGAAAATAAAGAATAAATATGTGGAATGTATAAATACTTGTAAGATTTAAAACGAAAAACGAGGCGAGGGGTGCATGCAATAGATAATTTACAATTACCTACACCTATTGAACTAATGTATTATTGTCAATTGCATGCACGGTGCACCCCACGTTTTTCGTTTTAAATCTTACAAGTATTTATACTTTCCACATATTTATTCATTATTTTCTACTTTTTAGTGCGTTTAAAAACGTTTTGTTTTAAAAAAGTTTTTTATTTATAAATTATTTTCTACTGTTTAGTTTTTAATGTGTGTGGATGTTAAATCTATTTCAAGCATCTATATCAGATTACGACAGATGCATGTAAGAAATTTAAGGTTCTTTTAGTTTCTTTTCTTATAATTATGTATTAGATTGAATGTATGGCCTACCTACCAACTATAAATATATCAATCTATTTAATTTATTGTTTACTTTATAGAATCTTACTATTATAAATGTGAAAGTTTGTGTGTTTGTTTGTTTGTTTGTGTGTTTGAAGTTCAATCACGCATAAACCACTGGACGGATTGGGCTGAAATTTGGCATGATGATAGCTTACATTCCCGATTGACATATAGGCATATTCTTATCTCAAAAATTCTTTCGGGCTCCGCCCCAGTGGCTCTGTAATTCCCCATGTTAACCTTATGAGTATTCATATTTAAAGGGAATTAAAGAATTTAGTCAGCTAAAGAAAGAGTTGGTTCTATGATATGAAAAGGCATTACAAATTTATAAGATTTACCAACAGGGTGCAGCACTATTATTTTTTCATTATTTATGAAAACAGCCAATTTGAACTAAGCAGCAACAAAAAACTGTGATACCCAATAAGAACTGTCAAAGTATTCACTGTTATTCATTATTGTTGTTGTTTTGTATTTATTGTTGGTTGTTATTTCACGTTTTTATCATCTCTGTTTTACACTGCCTCTCTATTCTTAATCTCCTTTCTTGTTACACATTGTGATTTCTTGTTTGTTATATCCTTTTTGCTATCAATTAATTTCTAGTTCTATTCTGCTTGTTATTATTGTTACTCATAAGACTGAATTGTTGCCTGTATCATAAATGTATTTATTATTATTGTATAAATGGTGTTTACCGTTGAAATGAAATGAAATGAAAGTAGGATTGTTTACAGTTATGTTTATATTTTTAATTTCATGAATAATTTGTGATATTTTGCGAATTTTTAATAGGCTAATCTAATCTTTCTCTATTGTGTAGGTGCAGTGGTAGAACATTATGGCTATGGTAGATGTGTAATACTTTAGCATACCGTAAATTTGAGGAAGCAAATTTTCTCAAACCGTGTCTTCTCACATTGCAAACGCAAATATCGAGTATAACTGCAATACGCATTTTATACTTATTTGCCAACCCGGTACGAAGGACGGGTAACTTACTCTGCTGGTAAGTTAAGAAATATTTTTTTCTTATGAATTTAATTTTTTTTGTATTTTTTTTTTTGTATTTTTTTTTTTGTATTGCAAAACATGTTTTTAATATGTACAGAAATAAAAAACCAAATCTAATCCAATAAATTGTGTAAGTTATTAGTTTAAAGACACGGTTAATATGCATTTTAGGGTTTGCACGCGATTTTGAATTTTTTTTTCATTCTTTTCGAAATTTAACGCTGATTCCGAAAATGACGTTCTTTTTCCACGGAAAACGACCATAACGCGCAAAAACAACCAAAACGTCCAAAAATTTGTTTTTACCAAAACACGTCATGTGGGTACTCAAATTAACCGGAATATTAAGCAGATCACGAATATGCAAGAATTTTTGGATCCGACGATCCGAGATTTTCACGAAAACGTGATAATATTAACCAGCAATAACTAACTCACTAGGGGACAGGTGGGAATTCGGGGTTTTGGGTGGGGGAGACATCTAACGTGGTTTATCATTGTAATTTAATGTGTAAAAAATAATGGGTAATTAGTCGTGAGAATTATAGGAAATATGCTTGAAATTGGGAAATTTTTCAGTACCAACCTATTCATTGGTTGTAGTAGCACTGCCATGTTGCTTGTTAGGTTATGTTAGGTTAGGTTGTTTAGGTTAGGTTGGTTAGGTTAGGTTAGGTTGGTTAGGTTAGGTTGGTTAGGTTAGGTTGGTTAGGTTAGGTTGGTTAGGTTATGTTAGGTTAGGTGGGGTTAGGTTAGGTTATGTTATGTTGGTTACGTTAGGTTAGGTTTGGTCATTTAACCAAACCAAAAGATATCTTTAATGATTTGGTATTAGAAAAGTTAAAAAAATATAATTTCTCAAAAACTGCAATTTCTTGGCTTTGTTCATACTTAAGTAACCGTAAGCAACGAGTTGTAATAGAAAGAGATTCATTAAAATTTCAATCAGATTGGCAAAAGATTTCAGTTGGTGTTCCCCAGGGTTCAATCCTTGGCCCAATATTGTTCTTAATTTATATAAATGATCTTGATGGCAACATTAATACAAACCTCATTTTATATGCAGATGACACCACTGCCCTGCTTAAGGCTCAAAGTGTACATGAGCTTAAAATACTTACTATCAATGCTATGGAGGAACTTGAAGTATTGTTTCGTACTAATGGACTAAAACTAAATTGTGAAAAAACAAATCTGATGAAATTTCAAACAGCACAAAGTAATGACCCTACAACATTTGCAGTTGAGTTTTTAAATACTGAAATTACATCTAAAATACAGAATAAATTTTTGGGATTAACAATTGACCAAAATTTAAACTGGAAAAAATACATAACAATACTCGATAATAAACTGAATTCTGCTTGTTTCCAAATGCTTGTGTTAAGGGATATAACTGATTTGGAAACTAGATTAATGGTTTATTTTGCCTATTTTTATTCCATTATGAAATACCTATGGAATTGAGCTATGGGGTTCATCAGCTGATTGGAAAAAAATATTCAAGTTTCAAAAAAGAATTGTTCGCATTATGACATTTTCGCGGCCACGAGTCTCATGCAAGCCAATCTTTAAACAGTTAGGATTATTGAGCCTTCCCTCTCTCTATATATATTCATGCTTACTGTTCATTCAGAAGAATTTTGATCTTCTTTGTGGACAGCAGCATTTACATGCATACAACACAAGGTGCAAAGACAATTTTCAATACCGAATACATAACTTAACAATCTATGAAAAGGGCCCTAGTTACATGGGTGTGAAGTTCTTTAATAATCTACCGACAAACATTAAAAGCCAAATCCGTTTAAAGAGTTTTAAGAATACTCTAAAAAGTTATCTTTTAAACCAAGTAGTAACTCTGTAAGTGACTATTTACAAAATTAAGCAGCATTGTTATGTAATTGTTGTTTTAGAGTCAGACAAAAATGTTCTGTAACCTTATTGTATTTTTAGGTTTATATTGAATTGACAATGTCACCAGTTTAATAGCTTTGCTATGTACAAATGTTTATGTGACAATAAAGTGGATTTGATTTGATTTGTTAGGTTAGGTTAAGTTAGGTTATGCTTAGTATCATCCCTTTTACCTGTTAAATTAAAACATAAACAATTATAATAAAATAATGACCAGCTGGTATTTCAACACAGACAAAAGTTGGAGCAAAAATTCAAAATAGCATCTCAGATTTACGTGAAAATCTCGCTTATTTGACCTCGGATCCAAACACTTCTTGCATATTCCTGATCCGCTTAATATTCTAGTTAATTTGAGTAGGCCTACTCACATGACGTGTTTTGGTAAAAACAAATTTTTGGTCGTTTTCTAGTTCCGCGGAAAAAGAACGTCATTTTCGGAATCAGCGTTAAACTTCGAGTAGAATGAAAAAAAAATTTCAAAAATTGCGTGCAAACCATAAAATGCATATTTATAACTAGGCCTAATCTAACAAAAAAGAATTAACTTATTGTTCTATATGCCAATATGCCTAAAGAAACAAGAGATAAGTTTTAACTTAGAGCTTGCTAATCAAAACACTGCGCTTGACCAAAATATGGCCTTGGCGGTTTTGGCATGATGCAACCACTTGAACATTTTGGCGGCGAAAGGGTTAATTTAATGAAAAGTTTAGGCCTAGGCCTAATCTAACAAAAAAGAATAGGCTAATTGTTCTAGGCTATGCCTAAAGAAACAAGAGAAAGAGCTTGACATTGCGCTCGACCAAAAAATGGCCTTAGCATGCAACCACTTAAAAATTTGCGGTGGCGAAAAGGTTAAACATTCGTTTGGAGGCACCTATTCGCTTAGTGAAGACTAGGCCTATGAGAAAATTCTAAATTTTGAAATTATGAAATATAGGCTAGGCTAGGCATACCAAGAGTTTTAGGGCAGTTTCATGTCACTAGATTTTATTTTTATTTATTTGTTTACGGTATAACACCATTTTTACAGGGTTGACATAACAGGGTTGACATGCTGATCAGATACAATATTGAAAGATCCTAATTAAATTTTCTTCCCTTCTGCCTTTTCTCATGCTCTTTTACTTTTTTTTGTTTTTTGCAGGATTTATTAAAAGGCAGATAGGGACTAACATCACATGCTAATGGAAAAAAACTGGTTGAATAGCAAGCATAACAATGGATAGAATTAGGTAAAAATAACAATCGATAAATACTACAAGAAAACATGCGACTAGATAACAGAAAGATAATACATACATCAATTCAATACTAACATCACATGCTAATAGAAAAAGAAAAACTGGTTGAATAGCAAGCATAACAAAGGATAGAATTAGGTAACAATAACAATCGATAAATACTACAAGAAAACATGCGACTAGATAACAGAAAGATAATACATACATCAATTCAGTACTAACATCACATGCTAATAGAAAAGAAAAACTAGTTGAATAGCAAGCATAACAATAAATAGAAATTTGGAAACAATAACAGTCGATAAAATACTACAAGAAAACATGCAACTAGATAACAAGAGAGATAAAACTACATCAATAGTACAAGCAATATCAATAAACTAGTGACAGACGGCAATAATGACTAGGGAGCATTGATAAGGAAGCATTGACAGAGAATTAAATTATTACACAAGACCTGTACAATTAAATCACAGCAGAACGAGATTACTGTTCCTCAAGAACCGAAGACGCAATCCTCTTGACAACCCGTGGACAGCAGTCAAAGAAGTCCACATAATGACAGAGCCGATTGCCGAGTCGATGCAGTCTAGGCAGAGGGCTATAAAGTTCATAGTTCGTGGAGCAGTGTTGGCGAGCAAACAGCACATTGGAACGAGTGGATCTAGGTGGGGAAACATGCAGGTCAATCAGCGCAAGCAGATCAGGACAGTTGATTCGTCCATTTAGTATCTTGAACAGGAACATGGCATCACTGATTTCCCTCCTCTTGGCCAGGGTATCAAGTCCAAGAAACCTTCTGATGTCCTGGGTAGGTACATCCCGGTACATGTAACCCATCCTACACCCAATAAGACGTAGAAATCGGCACTGGACACTCTCCAGACGATCAATGTAGCACTGTTGGTGGGGTGACCATATAGAGCTACAATATTCAAGTCTTGACCTCACCAAAGAAATGTACAGTGTGCGAAGCGCCTCTATACTCAGACCACATCTAGAGGATCTCATGATGAGTCCCAATATCCTGGTGGCCTTAGAATAAATTTCCTCAATATGGCGTGAGAAACTCAGATCCGCAGACAGTACAACACCCAGATCTCGAATGTTGTCACTTCTAGCGAGGGGCAGGTTGCTTAGGCAGTAATTATAATCCACAGGCCTTCTAGCTCTACTATATGTAACCACCACACACTTTTTAACGTTGAGCCTCATGCAGTTATCGGTGCACCAATCTTCAACACGCCGAAGACATTGCTGAAGTCGAAGGCAGTCCTCACTAGAGCAAACAGTTCTAAAAATCTTCAAGTCGTCTGCGAACAGGAGACAGTTGCAGTCAAGTACATCCACAACATCATTGACGAACAGGGAGAATAGAAGCGGTCCAAGATGAGAGCCCTGTGGCACTCCAGAGAGAGCAACAAAAGGATCGGACAATGCATACTTGAATTTAACTTTGAGGGATCTGCCACTCAAATAGGAGCTGAACCAACTGAGTAGACTGCCGCAGATCCCATACCCCTCCAACTTTGCAATAAGATGTTCATGACTGACAATATCAAATGCCTTTGAGAAGTCTAAGTATATACAATCAACCTGGCTACCTGAGGCTAAGGCAGAGGTGACTAAATGTTGGAGAAGAGCTAGATTGGTGAGAGACGATCTTCCCGCTATAAATCCATGCTGTTCAGGGATAATCAGAGCTTGTAAGTGGAACATAAGTTTGTCGATGAGAAGGCACTCAAATACTTTGCCCAGAGCAGGTTGAATAACAATTGGCCGATAATTTGTGACTTCTCCCTTGGATGAAGATTTATGAATTGGCACGACGTAGCCTTCTTTGAGTGCATCAGGAAAGATCCCGGCTTGAAGACTCTTGTTGAAAAGTACAGTAAGTTGAGGGGCAAGTAAGTTTGAGCAGTGTTTCAAGACAGATGCAGGTATGTCGTCAGGGCCAGTTCCCTTGAATTGGTTGAGTTCAGAAAGCTTCTTCTCAACATCTGATGATTCAAGCACGATTGAGGACAGGTTCATTTGATTTCCGAAGTTATAACGAGAAGTCGAAGAGGAAGGAAGCTTGTAGACTGATGAGAAGAATTTAGCAAACAAGTTACATATTTCGGAAGGTGACTGTGATGAATAACCATTGTATGTAAGTGATGGTTCATTGGCGGAGGATGACGTCATGCTCTTAATAAAACCCCAGAAAGATTTTGGGTTTGAGGTGATGGCTGAGTTCACATGATTGATATAGTTATCATAACATTGTTTTGTAAGAATCTTACACTGGGAACGAGCCATAGAGAACATAGATGGCTGGTGGGAAGGGGTTTCAATAAACCTGGACATGTAGGCCTAACTTTGAAAAGTCAAGCAGACTAAAGCGTGAATCCTCCAAAGTTTGTTGGAGGAAATTAGTTAGCTAATCATGTATTTATCAGACTAAACGCATATTTCCGAGTTTGAGGTTAAATAGAAAGGTCTAATTTGAAGAGCGTTTAACTAATTAGGCCTAAATTATCTAGTTTTCCATAACACAAAACTAAGCCTCACCTGTACATATCACTAGTTAATAACTAGGTAGGCCTACTTAATTATTTACAATACAAATCTAAATCTTTAGAACCTATTGTCGGTATCAGACAAGATAAGAATCACATTTATTCACATTTCACAAAACACAATAAATAATTAATTTGTTAATCTTACCAAAGATTATATCTTTGATCTTAAAAGATTACATTTGCTACTATCATAAAGTCAATGCTACTACGCTAGTGCTACACTACGCAAAAAATCTTTGATCTTGATCTTACTCTAAAATCATAGACTAACCTGTTTTATCTATGCTCTATTTATCTTTTATCTGTATTAAAAAAATATTAAAATGTGGAAGTTTGTGTTTGTGTGTTTGAAGTTTTTTTTGTTTTTTCCTTGCCGAAAAAGGGTCTGTATGGTGAGACACACGGGAGGGACTAAGGCTAACATATCTTGTAGTGTCGGCGTTCGCCGCTAGAACCGCTAAGTTGAAAAAATTAAATTATTTTTTAAATTTTTAGTTATAAAATTAACTTTTTAATTATAAAATAAATTTTAATAAATTATAAAATTAATTTTTAATTTTTAAAATTAAACTGTCATAACATAACCTAACCAACCAGACTTGCTGATGATTTAAAAACTATATAAAATAAAAATCTAATTAATGATAACTGTGCTTGTGATATAAATTAGTCATCAGCTGTTTGATATTGTGAACATTTTTATTTGTTTATCTTTGGATGATTTTTATTGATTCTTGTAGTCGTGGAGAAATCAATATTTACCAGAGTTGGATTGTTCTGATGTGTAAAAAAATGTTAGTTTGTTAAAGCATTAAATATCTTAATTATTTTTTTAATTTGCATGTTGATTTAATTACAAGCTATTTCGGCATAATGTCAGGTACTGGTGTTAAGTTCTCAGACTTGATTAAGCAGTATGATGGAAGTGGTGATTTTAGTGAGTGGTTAAAGAAACTAGAATTGGTATGTAAGCTCCAAAAGGTGAAAGACTTGCAGACAGTTCTCCCCCTATTTTTGGCTGGAGGAGCATTTTCTGTATATGACGGGCTAGCAGAAAATGTAAAGAGTAACTATGAGGCTCTCACCAATGCATTGCTGCAGGCCTTTTCTGCGAACTGTTTTCAGGCTTATGCAGAATTTACAGCTAGGCGTCTACTTCCCGGTGAGTCACTAGATGTATATGCTTCTGATTTGAAGAGATTGGCAAAATTGGTGGACCCTTTTGTATCTGATGAGTGGATTAAGAGCGCAGTTGTACATGGCTTGCCAGAAGATACTCAAACCCAGTTGAAAGCTGCGTGTTCTCTTCAAAGCATGGAGTTGTCGGATGTAATGACAAGAGCTAGGAATCTGTTGGGCAGTGAGTCAAACTTTGGGGCGGTTGCACAGGCTAATGCCAAAGTTTTCAAAGTTGGTAAACAGTGGTCTAAAAAATGCTTTGTTTGTGAGAGGGAAGGCCACGTAGCACGTTCGTGTCCCCATCTAAATCGTGAGTCAAAAGTAACCTGTTACCGGTGTGGGGAGGTAGGACATTATGCCTCAAAATGTTCACAAATTCCAAAAAACGAGTGAATGGGGCTGCCTTATGTTGCGCGGGTGGCCCAATTTCTTCAGCGCAACTCCCTACATTAACAATAAGTGTGTCGGGTTTTAAATGCTGTGCCTTGCTGGACTCAGGTTGTTCAAGGAGCATTGTGTCACCTAGTTTAGTGAAATATGGAGTAGAACTGAAGCCAGTAAGTCAAAGGATTATAATGATGAATGGAGAATCAGTTGAGTGTAACATGACATGTATGTTACAAGTTTTGATAAGAGGTGTTCCGCTCAAACTGAGTTGCTTGGTTGCCAGTGTATTGCCAAGGTATCAGATGCTTCTAGGGATGGATGCAGTGACTGCAATGGGAGGTGTCACTATTGATGGAGATGGCACTATTACGTTCAGGGACGTTGATATCGGAGCGATGGCTGAGGCCAAGAAGGAGTTGTGCGTGAAGGAAACCTCGGAGAATGGCAACGATGAGATCGCTATTAATGATTGTGACTTTAATGCGAAATTTGTTGATGGAAAATGGACCGTTGAATGGAATTGGAAAGATGGCGGTAAAACACCTAAGATAAATAACCAAGTACCTTCATACTCAATTTCAAAAGAGGCAAGGGAGGCGTTTGACGCTGAAGTGCATGATTGGATAAGAGACGGTTGGCTCCAGCCTTATGACGGGGAGTTTGATGGCTTAATTCCTTTAATGGCGGTCGTGCAACATAACAAGGACAAAGTGCGACCTGTAATGGATTACAGGGAATTAAATCAGTATGTTTCAAGCCATACAGCAGAAAGTGAGGTTTGTGGGGAAAAGCTAAGGATGTGGAGAAAGCTAGGAGAACATGTGAGCACTATCGACCTTCGTAAGGCATATCTCCAAATCCATATTGCTCCTCATTTATGGAAATTCCAAGTGGTCCGATTTAAGGATAAGAATTATTGTCTAACACGACTCGGGTTTGGTCTAAATGTCGCACCGAAAATAATGAGCAAAATTGTTAATAAAGTTCTGTCAATGGACCCAATAGTCCGAAGTGCTACGGACTCTTATGTTGACGACATAGTGGTGAATGAGAACATTGTTGGCGGTGATGTAGTAAAGAAGTTGTTGGAAAAATATGGGCTGTCAGCGAAACCAGTGGAGCCACTTGATGGAAGTAGGGTTTTGGGGCTTAACGTCTCAAAAAGAGATGGCAAGTTGATGTGGACCAGAGACAACAAGATAAAAGCTTTGGATAAAATTGAGACCAAGAGGGATGTGTACTCCTTGTGTGGGCAGTTAATCGGACATTTCCCGGTGGCTGGTTGGCTTCGACCAGCATGCAGTTTTCTTAAGAGGCAATTGACAGATTTGAAATGGGACGATGTGGTGGGCAACCGAATCAAGATAATGTTAGGAGATATAATGGAAAGCGTAAAAGAAAAGGATCCTGTGTTTGGAAAATGGGCAGTGTCATCTAGTGACAAAGGAACTGTGTGGTGTGATGCTAGCAGCTTGGCGATCGGTATTTGCATTGAAATTGATGGTGAAATAGTTGAGGACGCGTCTTGGCTAAGGAAAGAAGATGATTCGGCGCATATTAACTTAGCTGAGTTAGAGGCTTTGTTGAAAGGAGTGAACTTAGCTTTGAAATGGAATTTGAAGGAGTTATACTTGGTCACAGATTCGGCCACCGTTTATGCTTGGGTAACATCCATATTAACAGGAGACCGACGTATTAAAACACATGGGATGGGTGAAGCTCTTGTAAGAAGACGGTTGGGTTTGTTAAAAGACCTCATATCAGAATGTGGCCTTAAGGTGAGGATGGATCTGGTTAAATCGCAATTTAACAAAGCAGATCGCCTGACGAGAGTTCCTAAAAAGTGGTTGGCAAGAGAGGAGGAAAAGACCAGTATTGCAATGATGGGTGAAGAAGAGGAGGAAAAGACCAGTATTGCAATGATGGGTGAAGAAGAGGATGAGGATAAACAAAAGTTGGTCAAAAGAATCCATGGTCTGCATCACTTTGGTGTTAATCGAACTCTTTTCACAGTTAGGCGTTGTTACCCAGCCGTTGAGTTTAGTAAACAGGACGTTGACTGCGTAGTCAAATCATGCAAAGAATGTTTATCTGTTGATCCATCCCCCATCAAATGGAAGCCGGGGCACTTGGATTGCGACAAGAATTGGCACAGGCTTGCGATTGATGTGACTCATTATGGGTCATATAAATTTCTTACAATTATAGATTGTGGTCCAAGTCGGTTTTGCATTTGGCGACGGATCCCAAGTGAGACTAAAGAACAGGTAGTAAAAATCTTACTTGAACTGTTTTCAGAACGAGGTCCACCCCAAGAACTATTAATGGACAATAGTGCAACATTCAGATGTGAACAAATTGAACAACTGTGTGAGGAATGGGGGGTTATCCGTCGTTTTAGGTGTGTGAACCGTCCGTCCGGCAATGGAATCGTTGAACGAAACCATAGAACGATAAAGAGAATGGCAACAAGAACCAGAAGAAGTGTTCAAGAAATGGTATATTGGTATAATCTAACACCAAAAGAAGATTTGAATGAAGAGTCGACACCAAGCTCTAGATTGTTCTGCTACAGGTGGAGGTGTAAGGGCGAACCTGTAAATTGTGACGAGCAACAAAGAACTGAGTTTTCACCTGATGAACCTGTGTTTGTCAAGCCTAAAAATTCCTTATGTACTACGAGATGGAAGCCTGGTGTGGTCTCACGGCAGCTCTCACAAACCAGCGTAGAGGTTGATGGTATGCCACACCATATTGCTGATGTTCGTCGTGCTGGTGTTGACACCACGGGGGCGTGTGCTTGTGATATAAATTAGTCATCAGCTGTTTGATATTGTGAACATTTTTATTTGTTTATCTTTGGATGATTTTTATTGATTCTTGTAGTCATGGAGAAATCAATATTTACCAGAGTTGGATTGTTCTGATGTGTAAAAAAATGTTAGTTTGTTAAAGCATTAAATATCTTAATTATTTTTTTAATTTGCATGTTGATTTAATTACAATAACTTATAATTTTTAATTAAAAAATTAATTTTAAAATGTATTATAAAATTAAACTGTCATAACTTAACCTAACCAACCAAACTTGCTGATACTATAAAAAATATATAAGATAAAAATCAAATAAAGGTTCAATATTTAAAAAAAAGTTCTGTTCATAAATAAAATTATAAATGCATCAAATTATAACAAAAGATGTGCAGTTAAGAAGTATTCGCATTCTAAGCAAAAATCGTTGACAAAAAGTTAATATCTCCGGCAAGTTTCGTACCCGGGACCGTACGGTTTGTGAGGTATAAACAGAAAACCAAGTAGTGTAGATTCAATAATCGAAAAAACCGTAAACATTGTCCGTTTTTGATGGGACAAAAACGAAAATGTTTGTTAAATCAAAGTCATCAATGACTAAATTTATTTACCGGATAGTAAACTTATTAATGATAATTATTGAACTAGGGCGTTCACGGAAGTGTCGCTAAGCGGATTATAAAGGGTCGTGCGGGACCAGCCGGTAATGACCCTCCCGGGCAGTTTGGGCTGCCTCAAATTAGGGTGGCGAGACCTATAGCATTTAGCAGAGGGTACACCATAACCGTAACAATACGGATTTCAGCCATCGGCCTCGGCGGAGGCATTTATAATTTTATTTTATGAACAGAACTATTTTTGCGATTAGTAAACCTGACCTGGTACATTGCCAAAATGCTCTCTTCTACAGTGCTGTTCACGGAGGAATTTTGAACTAATGCCTCAATCGTACCTCCCCTAAGTCAGACCCGTTTCCCAATTGCTGAAATTCTTATTCTTATAACTCATTCCACTCCTCCACTCCTCTAAAGAAAAAGAAGGAAAAAATGCGAAAGAAAATGTGATGTGATGTGATGTTAATGTTATTTGATTTTGTGAATATTGTGATTGTGAAAGCAAGCATAATAAAAAACAAAACTAACTAAACAAGTAAACAACGAAAACTGTAACAAAATCAAAATGTAGGAAGTTTATTTTATATTGATGATAAACGTTGAACCTACTTAATTACATAACTCTTAAATCCCGCGAATGCAAGTATTTGATGGATCTGAATTATTCATAGTCAGGACATATTTTTCAGTGCTTGTGTGACATTTTGTGCTCCAGAACATAACCTAGCCTGGCCCTAGGTTATGTCTTGAGGTATCATCCATAGGTAGGCCTACTTCATTTTTCATCATTTATATTTGTATTTGCTATTGAAGCTACCAAACATAGCAAAATGACGGCACCGCCAGCAGCTTTAGTCAATAGGAATAAAAAACATTTCTTGGGGGTACCAGCTCCTTTAGGATATGTGGCTGGTGTAGGTCGAGGAGCTACAGGTTTCACAACCAGATCGGATATTGGTCCTGCTAGAGACGCAAACGATGTCTCAGATGACCGTCATGCCCCTCCCAGTAAGCGGAAAAAGAAAGAAGAAGAGGAAGATGACGATGAAGACTTAAATGACTCAAACTATGATGAGTTTTCGGGTTATGGCGGTTCATTATTCAGTAAAGATCCATATGATAAAGATGATGAAGAAGCTGACATGATTTATGAAGAGATTGATAAAAGAATGGACGAAAAGAGGAAAGAATACAGGGAGAAGAGATTGAAAGAGGAACTTGAAAGGTATCGCCAAGAGAGACCAAAGATTCAACAACAGTTCAGTGACCTCAAGCGTGGACTTGTGACTGTAACCGAAGACGAATGGCGCAATGTCCCTGAAGTAGGGGATGCTAGAAATAGAAAAATTCGTAACCCTAGAGCGGAAAAGTTTACACCTTTGCCTGACTCAGTTTTATCTCGTAGCTTAGGTGGTGAAACAACTAATTCAATAGATCCAAGTAGTGGTCTAATGAGTGCCATTCCTCATGGAAATATAACACCTGTTGGTGTTGGTATGCTAACACCAACTGGTGATTTAGATCTCAGAAAAATGGGCCAAGCTCGCAATACACTGATGAATGTTAAATTGAATCAAGTTTCAGATTCAGTTGAGGGTCAAACTGTTGTTGATCCTAAAGGCTATCTTACTGATCTACAAAGCATGATTCCAACATATGGTGGTGACATAAATGATATCAAAAAAGCTCGTCTTCTTTTGAAATCTGTCAGAGAAACTAATCCTAATCATCCGCCAGCCTGGATAGCTTCAGCCCGTTTAGAAGAGGTCACAGGCAAAGTTCAGGCAGCTCGTAATTTGATCATGAAAGGTTGTGAAGACAATCCAAAATCTGAGGATTTGTGGCTTGAAGCAGCTCGTTTGCAGCCTCCTGACACTGCTCGTGGGGTTATCGCTCAAGCTGTTCGCCATATTCCTACTTCTGTTAGAATTTGGATTAAAGCTGCTGATTTGGAAACCGAAATGAAAGCTAAAAGGAAAGTTTATAGGAAAGCTCTTGAACACATTCCTAACTCTGTTAGGCTGTGGAAAGCAGCAGTCGAACTAGAAGATCCCGAAGATGCGCGGATTTTGTTGAGCAGAGCTGTAGAATGTTGTCCTACAAGTGTTGATTTGTGGTTGGCACTAGCTCGACTGGAAACCTATGAAAATGCAAGGAAAGTACTAAATAAAGCTCGTGAAAACATTCCAACTGACCGACAGATTTGGACAACAGCTGCGAAACTTGAAGAAGCAAATGGTAATAACCACATGGTAGAAAAAATTATAGAGAGAGCAATCACTTCCTTGAGTGCAAACGGTGTTGAAATCAACAGAGAGCACTGGTTCAAAGAAGCTGTTGAAGCTGAAAAATCTGGCTCTGTCATTTGTTGCCAAGCCATAATAAAGGCTATAATTGGACAAGGAGTGGAAGAAGAAGACAGGAAGCATACATGGATGGAAGATGCTGATTCGTGTGCTGCACAAGGTGCTTACGAATGTGCTAGAGCAGTTTACGCTCATGCTCTCTCTATGTTTCCTAGCAAGAAGTCAATCTGGCTTAGAGCAGCCTACTTTGAAAAGAACCATGGATCCAGAGAGTCACTTGAAGCGTTGCTACAAAGAGCTGTCGCACATTGTCCTAAGTCAGAAGTGTTGTGGCTAATGGGTGCCAAATCAAAATGGATGGCTGGAGATGTACCTGCTGCCCGAGGTATTTTATCACTTGCTTTTCAAGCAAATCCGAATTCTGAGGAAATTTGGTTGGCTGCAGTGAAACTGGAGTCAGAAAACTCAGAGTATGAAAGGGCAAGGAGATTGCTTGCGAAGGCCCGTGCTTCTGCTCCAACACCTCGTGTTATGATGAAATCAGCCAAACTAGAGTGGTGTCTTGAAAATCTCGACCTAGCCCTCCACCTGCTCGACGAAGCGATTAAAGTGTTTCCAAACTATGCAAAGTTGTGGATGATGAAAGGTCAAATTGAGGAACAACAAGAAAAACCGGATAAAGCTTGGGACACTTACAACTCGGCACTGAAGAAATGTCCTCACGCAGTTCCATTGTGGTTGATGCTTTGCAGTTTGGAGGAGAGACGAGGACATTTAACCAAAGCAAGATCTGTGCTAGAAAAAGGACGCTTGAAAAATGCAAACAATCCACAACTTTGGTTGGAAGCCATACGAGTTGAGTTCCGTGGCAATATGAGAGATATTGCGAACACTCTAATGGCTAAGGCACTGCAAGAGTGCCCTAACTCTGGAATACTTTGGGCAGAAGCTATCTTCATGGAACCAAGGCCTCAAAGAAAGACAAAGAGTGTTGACGCTTTGAAACGTTGCGAACACGACCCTCATGTATTGTTAGCTGTATCAAAACTCTTCTGGTGCGAAAGAAAACTCCAAAAGTGTCGAGAGTGGTTTAACAGAACTGTTAAAATCGAACCGGACCTTGGAGACGCTTGGGCCTACTTCTACAAGTTTGAACTGCTCAATGGAACAGAAGAGCAACAAGAAGATGTGAAGAAGAGATGTGTCACGGCTGAACCTCATCATGGAGAACAATGGTGCAAAGTATCAAAGAACATAAAGAATTGGCGCCTCACAACCGAAGCTGTTCTTGTTCTGGTCGCAAAGGATCTACCCATCCCAATTTAAGGTAGGTACAGAAGTTGGTGCCTAAATCAATGTTTGTTTCCTATTTCATTTGAGTTAGAATCATCTTTTTACTTCTTTAAATACTCAAGTTGTTCTGGAGAAAATATGTTGTTTAGTAATAGCGTGTCATTAATTCCTGTGGTAGCCTACTGTATATTTGTTCATTAAGGTGTCCCACAGTGTATTTTGAAGCATTTTGTTCGTCGCCCTCTGTGATGCACACCAATTTTTAGAGTTGTAGGCTCTAACAGAAAAGATTTTTACATTTAAATTGATTTATTTTACAAGTTATAGTAGGCCTAAGTACCTACCGTAAATTGTAAGTAGAGTAGGTACCTAGATTATAGCTGATTAAGTCACTTGATTGAGCATGGATTTTTTTTCAAGAGTTGTTAGTCTCCTGATTACGTTTGAATATTTATAATTGTTTAAATACCTACATTCAGTTATCCAAAATGCTGCTTGTGGCGACTATAGTTTCAATCCACATGGAACCATCTTCAGGCCGTACAAGGTGTCGTTATTTACCTCCTTATATGAAGGTCGTAATTTAATAAATAAGTACATAGAACACGAAAACGTACTTTGATAGACGAACATTTAACATTAAAAAGACCAAGTACTCGGGGACACAAAAGACAGGTGACGCGACCGGGTGGAAGTTGTAGCTTGAACATGCTTAGGTTCGTTTTCTATGTACTTATTTATTAAATGACCTTCATATACGGAGATGAATAATGACGCCTTGAAGATGGTTCCCTGTGAATTGAAACTATAGTTACCTACCACAAGCAGCATTTTGGATAACTGAATGCATGTATTTAAACCATTATAGATTATTTTTTACTATTAAGTAGCCTATGACATATTTTGTTTTAACAGATTGCCAACATACCGGTAAAGCATCGAATAGGCTCGACTAAAACATGGTTGATAGGCCTACACTACAGAAGCTATGCTTTTACTATGTAAGTTAACTTGATTCAAATTTAACAATTTTAAAACTGGATTAAGTTTGGCTCTATTACTGTGAACTTTTCTTTTACGATTAGTAAAGCCAGTGTTCACTGATTTGTAAAAGCTATTTTTTTTTAATCGTTTTCTTAAATATTGTTTGCGGGGACACCCTTACTCCGACCCTGTGAAGTAGGTAGGCTACTGTATTTTTAGAAATGTCATCTTATTAGCTAATGGTGGTGATATGGGACAGGTAAACCCAGTGGATAGGGTGATTATAAATGGGTATTCACCACAGACCTGGGTAAATACCCAAAAGTGTGGGTATTTTAAAAATATAAACACTAACTTAGCAGTGTATTTCGTTCATTGGATTTGTCAAGTCAAAATGAGTAAAAAATTATGCCCATTTGTTGTTTAGAGGGTATAGTTTGTGATATTTGGTGAATTAGAAACTCGTTAAAATTACCCACGTAGGTTCCCTAAGTTACTCCAAGTGGGTAAGTTATTATAGCGGACACTTATGAATTTCAAAACTTTGCCATAAATTTTTACATATTTTCTGTACGACCAAACATTAAAATAATTATAGGCCTATGTTTATACTAAATGCTAAGTATACTTAAAGAAAGGTTGTGCTGATTATTATTTTGATTATTATTTTAGTTTACTTAAATTAGGTACTTAAGTTACTGTATATAAGTAGCCGATTAAATCATACTAAAATAGGCTATATAATTAAATTATAAATTAAAGTGGATGATAAAAATTAAATAGGTACAAACAAAATATTTAGACAACCCTTAGTAGGCCTGATGCAGTTAAGTATTTTTTTAAGTGCCTAGACTAGGCCTACGTATCTGAACAACATTAATGAAACAGATTTACCGTACTCAAAAGGTTTTTTGTACTAATGATTGAAATTGATACATTCCCTTAGTTTCAATAATGGATGTACTTATAGCACCATTAATAATGTTCAGTTTAAAATTAGCATAGCCTATTCAACAGCCTAAACCCTCCTCACATCTCACATAAGGGAACTAATTAGTATAAAATAAATAAATTTGCCAAATTTGATCAAAATATATTCATAAGCTAGCAAACAAGGGCCGTCCGAAGGGGGGGGGGGGCAACCGGGGCAAGCTGCTCCGGGCGCCGTGGCTGAGGGGGCGCTGCGCAGCGGCTATTTGTATTATTAACATAGTATTAAAATATGGGAATGCGACTATTACTGGGGGGGAGGGGGGCGCCACGACAACGTTTGCTCCGGGCGCCGCAAACCCTAGGGACGGCCCTGTAGCAAACTACAACATTTTACAATATTCTCTATAAAAATAACAGGGGAATTTTAAATTTACAATTTTTTAAACTTTCTCCGTTACCAATAACGGTACAAAAACACTTTGATGTACTAAATTATTTTTATTTTTAAACTCTTTAAAAAGTTCTAGAGAGAAATTGGGATATTTTGTGTTTTGAGGGTCAAAAATGAGAAAACCCATTTTTTTACCCCGTAAAATCCCGTTCCCATAGTCCGATTATGCTGGTTCGTGAAAATCATTTCAAGTAAATTTACTTAGGCCTACTTTAAAAAGTAAATTTGGTATATTAACAACTCATATGAGATTGACGCAATCTTTCCAACAGTGTCGGCGTTGGTCAATGATGAAGACTTCTAGTAAAATTAAGAAAAAAACCCTACCGTTGAACATTTCTCTAGGCGGAAATTTATTTATTTTGCTACCAACGGTCCAAACAAAACAATTTACAATTCTTTTAACAATTCATATTTATTTAAGACTAGCAGAGTACCTGTCCTTTGTACGGGGTTGGCAAATAAGTATAAAATGCTTATTGCAGTTATACCCGATCTTTGCGTGTGTTACGTGTACTTACGTGTGTAGTATTAAAAAGAAGCTGTAGTTCGTTGCAAGATAGTCGTACCGCTAACCCACTGGCTCTCAAGTAGTACGTCAAATCTAACCTATGAGCGCTAGTGTCATCGTGATTACACAGTAGGACCTCGATGTCTTGAATCTGAAGGGGGTATGATACAATTTTGAGTTATTGAGTTTTTCGAGTAAGTGAGGTTTGAGTAATGATGGTGCTATACCAAAAATTACGTCACGATCTTTATATCTTGACTTTTACACGCAAAAACTTTATGAACCAGCTCAAGCTATTACTATACGTACTAAAGGGTAAACTTTAGTAACCTTTCACACTTAATTTTTCCTTAATTTTTCCTTCAGTCACCCAACAAAGTTTACTGTTTATAGTACAGAAAGATGATAATTGCTGCATATTTATACTTTGTCGTACGGTTTATACTTTGTCGTACGGTTTATACTTTGTCGTACGGTTTATACTTTGGCGTACGGTTTATACTTTGGCGCACATCAGGATTCCAACGAAACAACAGAAAACAGCGTGGTTCTATTATGCACGTAATCCGTGTACGCTTGGAAATAGGTTGGCAAAACTTAAAGATAATAATACTATGAGCAGCTGATTGACTATTATAACTACGATTTAACCTGTCATTTCGTGTTTATAGTTTGTGTATTTCTGAACTTTCTGGACTTTTCTTTTAAACATTTTTAAACATTCCTACGATCTTAATAAACAAGAAAATACCTTTAAAGCATTTTTGGGCGTGGAAACCACTTCAAATTACAAAAACATACGGAACTATATTCTCAAGTCGCGGAGCACATTTCTTGGCGAGGAAAAATATCGGAGTGATACGGACCAGGTACTACTTTCTCTAGGGCACCTATTTGTGTTGCCAGCTGAACCTAAAAACGTGTTGTATCGTGTTTGAAAGACTAATTATTTATATGCTTTATAGTGACTGTAGGAAAAATATAATGTGTAACACAAGTGCAAAAGGCCTTTGCTGCACTCGAGATCATTCCGCACTTGCCTCCGTGTGCAGCAAAGTGCCACTTTGCCCACTAATTACACAAATAACCATATCATGCATTATTAAATGGCATGTATTGAATGGCCTTCTCTTGCAAAATTGGTCCTGATATAGGAATGTTTTCATTTTTACACTGTTAACCCACGTTAAAACTCATTCGTTCACGTCCTTAACTGACTGTTTTTACATTTTTTCTCATTGATTTATCCACCTTCAGCCTGATACGTTCTGCGGTTGTTCAAAATCGTCAAAAAAGTGCTAGGTGGAATTCCTAATTCCCTGTGCAATTTCACCTTTTTTCTTAAGCCTATCGTCATTTGCCTTATTCACTCTTCTATTTTTGTTGTGTGTGTAAACTTTTTACACATGCGCTTAACTGACGGCCTGACATCCAACGTGCACATAATAATCTAAATAACTGGTAGCCTAACAGCCACTGAAAAAAAGAAATAAATAGGCCTAGTCGTCAGGAATCAAAACACAGCTGTTTTGCACTGTACGGCAAAACTTCGAGTTATTGAGGCACATCATGCAAACCAACTTGTAAATGTAAACTGAGTTATTGAGGCTCGATAAGGGAACAATTTTGTTTAAATAACTTCTTAATCAGCATTGTACGTGTTATTAAATTACCTGAAAGCAGAAAAATTTTTCAAATAATGCTTATAATAATATATTTACACTTATTCTGTTTACTCACAAGACGGTAAAGATACATATAAAAGATGGTAAGTAGTGATTGATTTCGATTGGACTCTCCAATCATCATCAGACCCAATAGGCGAATGACAAGAATTAAAATGGTGTCTTAACTTTTAGTACAGTACTTTTCATTGAAATGGCGACCATACAAAATAGTTATTTTAAGCCAAGTATGAATGGAAAACATTGTAGGATGAGTGACGTGATCTTCTAGTCTTGTTAGTGACTAAGGCCAACATAATCCTTAGACCCAGCTGTTAATTAATAGCCCATACAGCTAATGGCAACTAAGGGACCTACAGTTTACAGTGGAATCCAAACCACATTTTTGGCTTGGTATTAACGAATTGATCTAAATATCAGGATAGTACTGCAGATAGTCGTAGTACTCATTAGTTAATCCACACCAGGGAGTATCGCATCCACAGTGCATGCCTATGAATATCCACAATTCGTGACCTCCTAGTAGCTGGATTACAGGACGATGCCACTGTCCCAGTCTATATATATAGTAAAGGGTGTCCCAAAAAAACAGGGACAATTTTAAAATGTCATTACTCAGCTGTTATAAAGGCTGGAGAGTTCATTGATGCGACAATTGAATGTTTATTTGATGCCATTTAGTGTATCGTTACTATGGATCACGATGCAAATTTCGTTTGGATATTTGACAATTACCGCAACATCGCGCCTTTGCCCTAGAGAATTTTTGAAGAGTAACATTTTAAAATTGTCCCTGTTTTTTTGGGTCACCCTGTATATAAAGCAAGGGACGCCATTTTGATTCTTGTCATTCCCCTATTGGGTCTGATGATGATTTGAGTATTCAATCGAAATGTATCACCACTTTCTATTATATGTATTTTCCGTCTTGTGAGTAAACAGTATAAGTGTAAATATATTATCATAAGTGTTAATTTGACATATTTTTGTGCTTTCAGAAAATTTGAGCTATGGAGGTTGAGTTTTACTGATCGATAACCTTTAAAATTTGACTTTTTGGGGTTAAATATTTAAAACCTTCGATTTATCCTTAACAGCCATTTCACCTTTAGGCCTTAGGCTTTTAGTATATTATAAAAGGTATGTAATTACCTGAGTACTGCCAGAGTGATCCTGTGCAATCCTTATGGATGCGTTTCGAGTACTGGTACTAAATTCTCATCTTTAGATCTTACACAAGATCAACTATTGATACAACTATCACTATGAAAAGGTCGTCTAAAGTTTAAATAAGGAATACGGACACATACTATATATAAACGAAGACATGAAAATTAGGATTTAGTCTTTGAAACACAGGAGTACTTAGTTTTAAACCTTTTATAGTTTGCATCAGTGATTCGAAGACAAACAAAAAGTACTTATAAAACTTAAAGATATTTAGGAAGATTCAAGTTATTGAGGTCCTACTGTAATAACAAATTTGACCAGTACGGTCGACGGTGGCAATTGGTTAAGGTGTTGCTCTGACAAGTGTAGCGTTGAGGTCTCTCTTCATGTGCGGGTTTGAATCCCGTACATGTGCAATCCATATTGAGCCTGCTAATGTGTAGCTTAGCTGGAGTGGAGTACCCACCTTAAACAGTGTCCAGCTAAGTTGACAGCTTTAGTGAGTTTAATAAGGATTGACTGTTTTGCTTCTTTTTACATTGGTATAGAGTAGGAGGGCACATATTTTTCTTATTTTTTTGTTTTTTATCTTGGTAAAGAATGGATCTTGAAATACTTAAATGACAAAAGACGTTAAAGGACATAACCTAAAAAAAATAGAGAAATTAAAAAGAAATCCGTTGTCAATGAATTGGTGAAAATAGATTAATCTAAAATGTTTGTATGGATTCCTTTAACATAGCAATGGTCGATTAGGCAAATTGCTAAACAATCCATCCGGTCACTCCTGGTCGACTAACCTTTTAGATAAAAAAAAATTCATGACAACAGTCTTAACAAGCTGATAAATCCTTCGCAACATTCTCTACAGGCTGTACCTGCACTAAAGAGCAGTTGAGGCCTTCCATTCCAAAACTCACTCATTGCACTTTGGCAAACTTTAAACAAACTAAAAAAGTTTCTTGATTGTAATTCTCATGCTTTTTAGCGGTTATTGGGGTTACCTTGGTGGAAAATTATCTCTGGAACCTCCTGAAATTTTTATTTTCTATTTCCAATCAGCTGTTTGCCTGAAATTGAGCTTCAAAAGGAGTGAGTTTTGTCATGGCTTACCTGTAAAGAGTGAGTTTTTGCATGACATTCTCTGACAGTAAGTAGAGTCACGTGACAATTTGTAGCAACAGCAACATTATTGGCCAGATGGAAGAGAGTTTTAGAAAGGCTACAAATTGAGGTGAACGTCATGAAGATAAAGCATTTTGATTGGCTGGTTGTAATGAGCGAATTATGGAACAACAAGGGCCTTAAATAAGTTCTCCTAGTTTTGGAAAGAGACCTGATTTTCTACATTGAATTAGAAATGAAAAAGTGAGTTTTGAAAAGGTTGAATTTTAAAAGTCAATACAGATTTTTCCAACAAATAATGCACAACAAACAATAACAATCTCAATACAACAATAACAACAACAACAATAACAATAACAAATAATAATCTCAGAATAAAAAAAAAATGTTGATAAGTGAGTTTTGAAATGGAACACCTCAGTTTAAATATCAAACTAATAACAATACAAGTTTTATTTAAAATACCTTCCTTAAATACATTATTTTATTTAACTTGTTCTCTTTCTTTCAGGACTGGATGCTTCAAACCTGCCTCGTGTAAATACTGTTCTTGAATCAAATTAATGTTTCAATGTGTGTGTTTAGGGTTACACAATAATGTTGTATTTTAATTTTGAATATATTAAAAGAACGACAAACATTTGAAATATAGACTTTAAATGTTTAAATATTATAGATGATTAGGCTATGTTTTTCATTTCAAGATGTTTTATTTTGCACATTGATGATTATTTTGCCGCGTTTACACAAAGCCAGTTGCCGGGCAGGTGACTTGAAGTAACTTAAACTACATTAGAGACACCTGCCTGCTCTACTGGCCTCGTGTTAACACAGCTTAGAGACAACATGTTCTCTGTAGGTTAGATTGTTATTTTAACATGTATAATTGATATTCTCTGTTTAATATAAAACTACTGTTTATTTTGTCTATTGTCCTCAGCAAGTTCAATTATTTTTTGTATGTAGCTGTAAATAAAAAAATAGCATTAATATTAAAACTGCTGTGTTCTATTTATGTTTTCTTTCTGTCAATAAACTTTAAAGTAGCATATTGTAGTGTTTTTTTCAAGAACCTTTTAAAAGCAATCCTCATATAAATATAAAAAATTAAAATTATTTATCAGATGCTTGAAATAAAAGTATAAATAATTTTTTTACTAAAATTTTATGTGTTTGCGCTATTTCAGAAATATAATAACAATAACTAAAGTACGTCTTCCAACTCTAACCAATATATGTCAACACTTGTACTGTTAAGGGTGCGCTCTACCTCAGCTCGGGCTTCAGTTGCTATGTTGCACCATTGGACAGTGCTGCGAGAAGCGCTTGCAGAGGTTTCCAAGATTACTGTTTTCGAATTAACCAATAATGATAGCTACGCACTCTAAATGGCTTATAGTAGTGCAAATACCAAATCTATAGTTCTGCGTTTTTCAAATTTTCAAATAACGTTTTTTCAATAAGTTAGGGCTAGTTGAAAAGACCTTTTTTTTGTCCTACAAATCAAGTTTATAAGGTGTGTATTTAAAATTAATGAAATAATGAATGAATGAATGAATGAAAATGATTTATTTAGTCAGGCAATAATGAAACGCAGAACTATAGAAAATTGCATCCTCTTTAATTTGAGACCTTAATTTGATTCTACCTTCAATGTAGCAGGTGAAAACAGTAATCTTGCAAACCCTTGCATTCGGTTGCGCGTCATGGGTAGAGCGCACCCTTAACATTTCTATAAACATACTTACTCTGTAACATATTTTATATACCATCTTATAAATGTCTACAGTATAAATGTAAACATTTTTGATAGTTTTAGAAGACCTAGTTTAGTTGTTATATCCCCATATCAAATTGTAAACAATCTCCAAAGACCCTTATTATGATCCAATTGTCAATCATTGGTAATTTTTTTCAATTTTATTAGTCTATATAATATTTTTAACAGTCTCAAAAACTCAGCATAGGCTAATATGAACCATAAGGATGCAAAGTTTGAGAAATGCAAGAAAAAGGACCAGCGGTGTTCCTTGGCTTGAATGTTTTACTCGGGTATCTTTCACTGAGTACGGTGTATTGAGTCAGTTTATTTGTTTAGTTTTTTAGTGATATTTCTCTCCCTCGTGAAAAGGCACTGTCAAGGAATTTAGAAATTGGTCGGCTCATGACTTGCACATCTTGCAGGGTCTTTTACAGAAAAAAATATTGTCGAGTAGCCTAATCCATCTTTAGAAACTGCTTGTTAATTTCAGTTCTCTCTCAATACGACCTGGGCAACATAACGTTTATTAGCAATTCATGGTTTCCGCTGCAACAACAGTAGGTGGCTTTTGGCTCTGTGAGCAGTGGACTTAAAACCCGATTTCGTACTATATGGTACAAGGGAATTACGAATGATGACTCTATTAAATACAGTGTGCCTCTATTATACAGCTATCAAATTAAATTCCAAAAATTTTGCTCAGACATTTCAGTACTTTGTCCTTCCTCAGGACGTTAGTCATCAGATAATCTTTCTTTGGTCATTATTAGGATGAACCTGACACCTGCTCGCACTTACGTGAGTAGGTAAAAACCAATTAGAAGCAGAACTATTGAGCATTAATTCTTCCTCACTTGTAATTCCATCTCAACACGACTGAGTATCAGCTGGTGTGTGTAAAGCTTCTCGCCAAGCAACCAGCTACAAGCAACCTGCTCTACTCAACTGTGTTTTACTCTTAGGAGTGTGGTACGAAGAGTGCTAAAATAATGAGAAAGAGAACCTTTTTAAATCCCAACTCTTATCCTCTAGGATACAAAGGGGGTGTTGTTTCAATAAACCTGCTATATGGTGCAGGTGCACAGTCGTTCTACATGATTTCCGAAACCATGTGGATAACTGATGACCAGATATAGTTGTGGTTCTACTGTATGTTATAATGCTATGCTTTAAATTAAAGAGGTTTAAATAAAATAACTGCAGGATAACAAAAAATACTTTATTTGTTTTATTTACAGATATTTACAAACATAAGAACACAGAGTTTCTATAGTAAAAAAATATAAGTTATGTATATCTTGCACTGAAATTTATTTCACCGTCAAATTAAAGAGATGAGTTACTTTAAATCCAAATCTAGTTAGGAAATGAAAATATAATAAAGGATCAAGTTTTCTCTAGAGGGAAAAATAAGTGTCAAGCTAAGTGTAGCACCAAGCTAGGGTCATGTTTTGATCTCTTGAATGTACATTTTTAAACTTTGGTTGTGAGAAAATCTCGCTGTGATGAAACTCAGTTTTATAAATCAGACCTTTCTCATTAATATTTAATTAAATTACATGTTGCTGAAATCATGCATCACCTAGACAAAAATAGTTACAGCATCTGAAACAAAATGAACAAAATCATTTATTCAATACAGTACATTAAAAAAGGGTTGTGATATTAGTATTCACTGTTCACTAACAATTAGTTAACTCACTGTAGCCATTGTCAAATTCCATCTAGAAAAGTGTTAATAACTTAAGGGAATTCTTTGTAGCGTATTCACATAAAAGTTTTAGAGTTCATCCACTGAATTAATATATACTCAAATATATACTCAGTTTCCACTTTTTGGCAAACCATAAACATTTCAAAGCAAATTATATATGCTTTGTTATTAAACCGTTATATCAGACTGATCTCACTTACTTGTGTTAGAAAATCAGCAAAAGAGTTTTGGACAAGCTAAAGAAATAGATAAAAAATATGGATTTCATAACTCAAAAAGTCACTCCTCACATTTTAGGATAAAAATTTTGAGTAAAAAACAGACAGTACAAAAGAAAGTTGTTCAAACGTAGTAAAATATGGGTTTGATATCTTTAACACTAAAGTATGAGTATAGCTCGGGACTAAAGTTGGTTGATCTAACCTGCGATTCAACTGGATCTGATCGAGTCGGGTCCATGTGGACTGGCAAATGCAAGGTTAAAAGAGGCCACCAACCTCTTTAGAAATGAAAAAATTGCTAAAAGCTAGAATAAACCATCCTCAGACGTAATGTACTTGATTTAATCGTCGTCTGATAACCTCGTCAGAAGAAATCACCTACAGTAGACTCCCTCTTTTCCGGACATCGGTTTAACCGGACTACACTCGGCGGAAATGAAATCTCTTTAACCGGACAATTTTTATCAGCGCATCAGTTTAACCGGACTAGATCGGCAGGAAGTGGACGGTACTGAAACGACTGTTCTCGTGGGAAATAGTTCAGACCAGTGATCACGTGTCTAAATACAATGCTCTCCTAAATTTAAGTCAAATATGTATAGGCCTACAGTATGCATTCAAACGGTCCGTTTTAACAAGTTTTTGGGGATGTTGGTTTAACCAGAAAAACCGTTATCCGGACTGGCCTTGGTCCTGAGGAGACCGGATAAGAGGGAGTCCACTGTAACAACAGTATTAATGACAACGTTTTTTCTCAATTTGAGCATAGAAAATCATAAAAAAAATATTTTTTATAAATATAAAATTAATTTTTTTTTTTTTTAAATTACTCACCATGTTTTATTGTTTATGGATTTCAGTTGTAAACCACTCTCAATTTTTATTGGATCTTCTGTAGGCAAAGTAAAACATGTTTTAAAAATGCTAAATATTTTGGTCTTCAGAAAAACCTTTATAACATCATGCCTAAGTTGTCAGCACGTTGTTAAGATTTTTCTAAAACTAAATTGTGAATCATCCAATCAAAGATTTCTCATTCGTTCAGTTTTATAATAACAAAATGATAATTTAGAATCAAATGAAAAATCTTCATCTCTTCAAGAGTTATGTCTAGACATGCAATCAAATTTTTTTGTAAGGATGCAGATATGCAACACACTATATTATTGTTTTGCTCTATAGCCAAAGTTTAATTAAACACAAATTTAAAAAAAAATTAATGAAAATGTATACGGTAACTCTAGATTACATTGAGCAAATGGGATATGTCCGCAATATAAAATTCAAGGCTGTTTCAATATGAAAAGCTTGGCATATCAATAGGATCACATAAAGTTATGCTCAAAACATAGATCTGTAAAGTTTCTTATGGTAAGCTTCAAGCACACGCAGCTCGTAAACAGGCCTAATGTATTTTGAGTGAGTGAAACTAGACTTTCCATCTTCTTGTTAAAGTTGTTGCCAGGTCTTGAATCAAAATGGACGTAGTTGAATTGAACCACCGACAAAATTTGCGTGATGTAAATACTGATTTATGACGAATATGCAATTTTTTGACCAATTCAAAATTATAGAACCACATTTTGTAAGGTATAGTATATTTTATATCAAAACTATCTAAGTAATGAATGACAAACTAAGACAGAAAATAAAAGACTGTGTTGCTTTCTGAGGGTGGCCCATTTAACAACGGTATGTCCTTTTTTAGTAAATGAAAGCCTGCAGCTGGGATGTCTACTTCAGTATCCAAAAATCAATGATTAGACCTACACATAAAGAATGGTCTAGTGTCATCTTTGTTATCTATAATGTGCTTATCTAGATTCTTGCTGTATTGTATCGTTTTTAAAACGATAATTTAATTAAAAGTAACAAACATCCACCAAAAATTCAATCTAACCTGCAATGTTTTTTTTCTTAATTGATTTCACCAACATTGGACTTATTGTTTTATTATTGTGGCAGCACTGACCTGACAGTATCTGCTGGACGTGTTGGTGCGAGTTGGCCACCCGCAGGTTTGGACAGGTTGATGAGAGAGAGTGCACCACTGTGTCTGTCGCATTCAGTAGAATAACCTGGACGCCTTGCTTCTTGACGTCAGCAATCATTGACGAGACTCCCTGCGAAATAAGTGATTTTGTTGGTGTTAAATCAGTAATCTTTGACTTTTCGACCAGTCCAAAACCTTATTGTAAGCTAGAGCCATCTTTTACGTTCCATCAATTGATGACATATCTCAAGTGATGCATCAAAACCGAATTTCAAATCTCAAATTAGTTTCAAAATTTAAGATTCAACTATGCTATTAATTCAATAAATTATAAATTGATCTCATCATGTTGTTATGTC